CGGGGGCCAGGCTTGGGGAGGGGGGAGAAAAGGGATGGGAAGCGGGGGTCCAGGAGTAGACGGAAGTCGGGGCAGGGGAGTCTGGAGGGAGGGCCGTGCGGGGCTGGGCCGCGGAGTTGGGCGGGGAGGGTTTCCGGAACCCTGGCGGTGCGGGGCCCAGGGTCCAGATGTCCAGCCAGAGGGAGGGACACTGGGGGAGGCCCGGTAGGGATGCGACAGCAGCTCCAGCTCCGTCTCCGGCCCCGGCTTAGAGGTGGCTCTAGGCCCGGGCGGGGTGGTGCGGGGGTCGACTCCCGGAGCCACTGGAGGTGCGCGGGTCCGGGCAGAGCGGCGAGCGGAATAACAGGCCGGGCCGCGGTGCAGCCGCGGGGAGGGGCCTCTGGGCCCAGCTCCGCCTCCCCCGCGCTCCTCCAGCCCCCTCCCCCAGGCACCACCGTGCTCCCACTCCACGTCCCGAGACCTCCACCCCTCCTCCCTGCCTGGGTTCCCCCGCCCGCCCGCTATCCTGCTCCCTCTGGCACCCCAGCTGCGACTGCGGGTCGCTGGGTTAGGCGAGAAGCCTGGAGGTGGGGTCTGCCTCGGTCTCCCCTTGGCCTCTGAGATGAAGGATTCACTAGATGGGGCCTTGGCTTGTGTGAAACGTTCTGGGGTTCTGGCTGTCTCCCCCCCCCCCCGCCCCACGCAGGGCATGCGTGTTTGGGGAACACTTTGTGAGGAACACAAGCCAGGTGCCGCCCTCTCCCCCGACCCTTCTTTTCCTCCAGGCCCCAGAACTCCAAGCTAAAACTAATCACCAATTAAGGCGAAGTCCAGGCGCCTGAGCTGGCCGAGGGCCAGGGGTGGGGCGCGGGGACACTCCACTCCGCCTTCGGGGGCTTGGGACCCGCCGAAGTGAGGACACACATCGGGCTAGAAGGCGAAGAGAAGCGTGGTGTCTGCGATTAAATGGTCCCATGCAAATTAGGTACAAACCTTTATGTTAATATGAACAGCATCTATTTGAAGTCACCACTTTGCGCAGGATGGCAAACTGTGCCCCACCCAAGCCCAGCTTCTTACCCGGCTGCAAAGCCCAAGCGCGGACCTCAGGTTCGCGCTCCCCTGTTTGCTCCTCCTCGGTACAATCACTCTCTGTCTTGGTACTCCCAGGCCCTAAGGAATCTCTCTTCGGGGGCTGCCGAGACAGAGTCACTGTAAGGAACCCCCTCTTAGGCTGCCTTGACCTCCCCCTTTCCCTCTCCCTCCTGTCAAACAGCACATTATTCTGAAAGGTTCAACATGAACCTGGTCTATGGCCTTTATAACCGAACTTATGGATCCCCGTGACTGCTCCATACAACTTTTGTATGCGGGTAAACTGAGTCGTTGAGTGCAATTCTCCTAAAGTCCCCTAAAGACCCCCCCACCCCACCCGCGGTCCCTCCTTCTTACCCCCTCCTGCCCGGGTACGGCGCATGCGCGCAGCATGCCCCCCATGACCCCCAGTATCCGGTCAGTGCGGCCAGGGGTGGGGCGGTCCGGGGGCTTCATGCTGGACCCCTACCCTGCCTCAGGTTTCAGGGCCGAGGGGCTACGGAAGCTGGGGGGCTCTGAGGCCTGCGCGCGTCCGGGGAGTTGCTACTGCCGAATCCGCCCCCCTGCCCGGCTCCGCCCCCGCTCCCACCGCAGCCAAACTTCGCAAAAGGGGTAGGGTTGTTCCTTTCTCCACAAACGGAGTTGAACAACAAACAAACCCTTCTTAGTCCCGATTCCATCCATCGAAGTGCGGCCTGGGGCTTTGCAGGGTTATTGCAGCGCCCAGCGCTAGCTCCATCCTGTTCTCCAGGGTCCCCGGAGGTAAAGGGACTGTGTGGGCACGCAAGGATTCCCCAATCCCCCATCTCTTCCTCAGCGGGTCCTGCTCCCCACCCCCACCCTGTCCAAGGAGCAGAGAACGGGTGTGGCATAGAGTTGCATATTTTACTTTATTTTTATTAAATTAAAAGCTACAGTCTGGCAGCAATTCCAGAACAGGGTGAGGAGGCTCCTTATAGAGGCAGGGAAGAGCGAGGGAAAGACAGACTGACAGAGACAGACACAGGAGAGAAAGGATCCGTTAAGGTAGGACTACTGTTATCTTAACACACAGCTGGCTGGGGGAGGCAGCTAATATCAGTCCAATGAAACAGTACAGTATTCAGGGGCTGGAGCTCAAGAGACCTCCATCCTCCCTACCCAGGCCCTTTCTCAGCTTAGTCACTGGAGCACAGTACATACCAGGAGAAGCCTAGGACACTGGAGGAGCAGGGGCGTAGAGTATGTACACGGAGTGCAGGGAGGGGAGTCTTGGAAACCAGCCTCTGCCAGAGGGGAGTGGCTCAAAGGGCACAGAAGCACTTGGCCAATGGGGGGCAGGGGAAGGGGCTGTCCCTTTCCCCACTGAACTCCCACCCCAGTCAGACAAATCCCCTCGTGGGTGTGTGGGGGCAGAGAGAGAGGAGGAGAGAGGCTTCCGTTGGATCCTAGTAAAGAGGACAGCAGAGGCCTTGGCAAGGGGGATGTCCTTCAGTCATCTGTGATACCCTTGGCTCTCAGTTCCTCTTGCACCCTGGTCAGGTAGGTGGGGTCCGGATACCCAAACCTGGGGCAAAGAGAAACGAGGGTCAGAGTTAGCTGTTTGGACTTGCTCATTACTACCCACCCACATTTCGAGAGACTCGGTAGAGGCCAAATTCAGACCCGTCCCCACTTCTCCAAAACCAAGATAAGCCAGAGTCTGCAGGGGTTTTTTTTTGGTTTTTGTTTTGTTTGGTAAGCTGAACACATCAGGACCAGGATGAAAACAGAATGAGGAAGTGGTGGGTGGTCTTCTCCAGTTAGGAGACTCCCGGAAGAGAGGATAGAGAACTCCCCAGAGTAGAAATGGAGAGAAGGGGAGGAGGCAGGGGGAGGGAAATGAGGAGGAGTCGCACAGCTGGGGTCCCCCTGTGCAGCTGGTCTTGTGGTGGATGTCGTTCCAAGTGATGACATTGGGTCTCCCTGTAGTCATGGACGTGCCGATAGTGAAGGTGAGACGCTGGTCAAATGCCTTTCGGAACAGGGTCAGCACCTTGTTGCCCTCGGGGCAGTCCGGGAGGTAGGCCACCCGTGTGGTACCAGGATACCGAACTCCTGGGTTCGGGTGTTCAGCCTGAGAAGAAGGGAGGCAGACTGGATGGAAAGCAGCCGGCAGGGCGGTCTCAAAGGCCTGGGTACCAGGCAAGGGTCATTCTGGCCCACCTTTGTCTGTGCATCCTAACAAGGCCGCCAGCCTTCCAGGGAAAGGATGGCTTTGGGGCCTGGGCAGGAAGCCTGTTTCTGGACATGATTCTTACTGTTAATCCCTCAGGTCTCAATTCAAGAGCAAATGGACTCTCAGAAGTGATGGAAATCACTTTCCAGATACCACAGCAAAAATGTGACAAAAAAATTTATCTTTTTGCCATTCCCTCCTCCTCTACCTAAAATCCTAATGCTTCTGCCACTGCCTCTTGTCTCCGTTTCTGTTTCTTCCTTTCAGAGTCTCCGACCCTCTGTGAACCAGCTGTACATGACTCTGTCTAGCAGGAAGACATTTACCTTCAACTGTCACCAAGCTTTTATTGTCTCATAATTCAGAACACAGTAGCACCCCAGCTGTTAGGATGGCCCAGTTCCTTCTGTTGTGCCTGCCTGTACCTGGGTCCCCAACTCCAGACGTTCCCTCGGCCAAAACTCTGTCAGGGTACAAGCGGTCAAGCCTTTCCGTCATACCTGGTTCTCAGGGTTTTTTTTCCCCTTGTTTGATTTGGTTTTCTTGGGGGCAGGGATTGAACTCAGGGCTCCCCATATACTAGACATGTGCGCTACCACTGAGCTATGCTCTAGCCCTCATACTTAAGTTTTACATGTGCCTTTGGGTCATGATGATAAAAAAGCTGGTCCTCAAGGAGACACCCCCCTCCCTGGCTCCAGAGCACCAATTCCTAAGGCATGCTGGGAGATAGCAAGAGTTCGTCATGTCTAACAACATACTTCCCACATCGCCTATTTTTCTGAGGCCAGAAAAGTGAACTTAGAGGAAACCAGTGGGTAGGGGGAACTGTGGTCTTCTTACCCCCTGGACACCGGGCGGGAAGACATACTGGATGACAATGGTGCCGTACTTCTCATAGCTGGGTAGCAGAAGGGTGGCATCCTTGGAGACCAGCATCCGCCCATTCTGGGGCTGGTTGCCCACCAGCTGCCCATAGAATCGGCCACACATGGGGCAGGCTTTTTTCACCTGCAGGGCCCGCGTGATGCAGCCCTCACAGAAAGAGTGCCGGCACTTCTCCAATGTCTTGGCATTCTGGATCTCCCCCAGGCAGATGGGGCAGGTGCTTTCCTGTTCTTCAGCCTCCTCCCGAAGACGAGGAGGAAGTGGAGGGGGCAGGGGAGGAGGAGGAGGGGGGAGCCCTCTTGCTCCTGGGGGCAGGAGTGGGGCTGCTCGAAGAGGAGGTGGACCTGGGCGGTGCAGCTCAGGGTGCTCCCCACCACCCCCCAAAGCCAGGCAGCCCATGAGCTCCCCCTGCCTCTGAGCTTTCTTCAGCTCTTTCTCAGCCTCTTTCAGTAGCCCCTTGAGAGCCTTCCGGGCCAGGTAGAGCCCATTGGGAGGGACTGGGGGAGGACCCTGTGGGGAAAGCTGGAGCACGTAGATGTCAGAAGTCTCGCCATCTATGAGGATGGACACTCGGTGCTCCTCCCGAAGCCGGGCCAGCCGGGCTGGGGTCTCCTTGCTCAGGAAGTCCCACACAGGCTTGGAGACAGTCACTTTGTTCTTGCAGGTGCCTCCACAGGCTGCCATTCTGGACAGGACGAACGACACTGCCCCCAGGGTGAAAGGGACTCAGAGTGGGGAGTCCCCATTTGGCACATATAAGTGCCTCCTACTTCAGGTTCCTCCCAAACCCCACATCACCTCCTGTTTTCCTCAAAGGCAACCCCTAACACCTCCAGCAAACTGGTTTTCTACCTCCCCTACTCTCCCATAGTCCCAGCACCTGCTGGGAAACAAGCCTTTCCATTGTCAGCATTATCTAAGCCAAGCACCAACCTTGCTTGCTTCTTTCATTTCTCCCCTGACTGCAACAGCCTGTCCCTTCCCCTTCCCCCTCGGGGTGGAAAAAAAAAATCCGGCTCTTCAAACAGGGAGGGAAACTTCCCACCCTCCATTTTTGCTCACTTTGATCCGGAAGAGCTTAGAATTGGCATGCAGGCTCACTCCTTTTCCCTGCTACTTGGAGATTGTGTGGCCTAGGGGGATGAGAAAGAAAACGAAATAAGAAACCTTGTCTCTGACCCCCACAGGCCCCCAATCAGGAGCCCTTGAAACAGACAGGAACCTAGAGTAGGGCTCCAAGGCATGGGATTCCTTGGAACATGGGAGGAACATGAACTGGGGTGCAGGTACCTGAAAAGACCATGGAAGATGGTGGCAGAAGTCTCTCCACTTCCACTTTCAGCTGATCAGAGCTGGGGACCAGGAAGGTAAAGACTTATGATAGTATTTCCTCAGTCAACCCAGAAACAAAACACTTCTGTGTCCTGGCCTCCCCGTAGAAGTCCATGCTGAGCTACTCAGAGTTACTCAGGGAACTTCATCTTAACTCCTTTTCCCCCCAGTGCAGAGAGATAGTCTAGGTGCAGATAAAACCCTCGGGATGAAGGTCGTAGTTGCCTCCTCCCTCAGATTGCACTGACAGAAATATTTCCTATGCTCCTCGGCTCATTTCTTTACTCTGCATTCTCAAATAACTCAAGTCCCTGTTGTTGATGGGGACCTTTCCTTGAGAGCCGAAGTCTGTTAGGGATGCCAGCAAAGTGATAGAAGTCCCTGCAATAACAAGTTCTCACTGTCACCTTTAAACCCAGTGCCCCAAGAGCTGTTGTCAGCTCCTGGGTCTGAATTTAGGAGGGGCGGGTCTCAAGCAGGAGCTCAGCTAGAGGGACCCCACGCTTCCCCCCTGAGTCCTGTCACATTCAGCTCCGGGGCTGTTCCCACTACACAAAGTGCAGCTCAATTAGGAAGTGGGGCCATTAACGTGACCTCAATTCCTTGACTCATCCAAAGAAGAAGCCGCTGTCCGTTTGTGCCTCCATCCTAGGGCCCTTAAGAGGAAACCCTAGAATCCCAGCCCGCATGGTCTGTGCACGATGAAATGCCCCCACCCCAGCAGAGAGGACCCAGGATCTAGGTGTCCTAGCTCCAAGCCCTGCTGGCACAGCACAGGGAGGCGGGGCCACAGTTCAGTCTGGTCTAGCATTCCTCTGGGGCAAACCAGGCCGGACACGAGACCCATCTCTCCCGCCAGACAGCGGCCACCAGCAGGGACGGCGAGGAAGGGCAAGGGTCCCCTGGGGGTGTCCACCGAGGCACCCCCGCCCTTCTCCCCCAGGCCTGCCCCCAGACCCATCCAACCCGAAACCGACTCCCGCATTCCTACTCGAGGAAGCCCCGAGTCCCGGCGCTGGGTGAGGGCGTGTGTCCACCCGACTGCGGCCCTCCGAACCCCCGAATGGAGGCCGGGGCTGGAGGTGCCGGCAGGACGATGGGCCCAGCCCCGGC